ACTGGCCTGATGTAGGTGGTGGATTTGCTGGGTCAGTGGAGTCTAACACCTGACCGGCTTTGAGAGCAGCATTCTCCGCCTTTAACTTTTCAAGCTGTTCTAGAATGGCCTGTTGGGGATCCTGTGGGCACAAGGTCTTGTAGTGATCCAATGTTGCTTGAACCAGGTTTTTAATACTGGCAATTTGGTGTCCCATTCCTGAGGATCTTGGCCTGGTGTGGTGAATGCATTCAGCAACTTGGTGAAATCAATAGCGTCCTTCTGTTTGGACATTTCACGAAACAACATGGTAGCAAAAGTAGCTTCCATCCGATTCCGAAAGAACTCACATGAGACAAATCGACCATTGGCCACGAGTCGAAGGCCCCAATTACTGAGACCACTTTGAACGACATCAACAAGCTTTACCTGTGCGATCTCCTGTCCCGCAAGATTTTTGCCGGCGACTGAATTGTGTGGCTTCAACTCTTTTTGGGAAATTTAATCCATATTCTGTGTTGTATCCCAATGAGTAGCTGTACCATTCCACGTCGATGGTGGTGTATGCCGAGATGCAACAGGGCCCGGACGATGAGTGCGTCGTCTCGAATCATGTCTAGTGCTCCGACGTGATGTACTGTCCCGTGGACTGCGTCGTGGGGACGAACGTCAAACTGATCGTGAACGAGAGTCTCTTGCCATAGGTATGGTGAGAAATTGATTCAATGTATTTTTTACCTTGAGCCTATCAAATCGAACATAGCAACAATGTGACTGTTGTTACAATGCACGTTCATGAATCTACCTTGCCTCAAATCGGTGCAGCGAAACGTTTCAACTGTCCGTCATATTTAGATCTAATAGCCAAAAGCATGAATGTCAGTCTGTGTAAATCCTTTTTATACCTGTGTGCCAAGTATTGTTGTTGCTAACCTATAGGGTGATACGACTCTACAACTTGGGTGGCAGTAACACGGCAACATGTGTGAGTCTACTCAAATGACTACGAAGGGCCCACCGTTTCTCCTTTTGTGAATGAACGATATCACAAAATAAGTTGGCACAGTGCTCAGAAACCACGCCTCCTTGATGAATGGTAGCATGCGTCTGACGACCAACTGTCAATCCGATCAGACAAAGAGGTCGATCCGTTCCATAACCGGCATATTTCTGAGCTCGCAACAAGACGTCAGTGAGACTACGATCCGTAACGTTCCGAACTCCAAGAACACCCCGAGCGTAGAAACGGACAGCTGGTAGCCATGACAAATCTGTTGGGTCGACAGCGGATGGTCGGATCAAACCGTCTTCAATGCATGACGCTGCTGTCCAAGAATTGGTGTTATGGCCAAAAATAACCTGCTGAACAGTTTGTGGCTGGGGTCGTTGTTCAACGATCACCGGTTGGAGTTTTGCAACAATTGCTGAAGGCTGATTGTGGCGATCGTCAGTAAACAAATCCATGGTTTCAATCAAGGAATAGTTGTCAGGACGTATGAAAATCATTTCAGCCATGACTCGAATGGCCGCACGAATGTGAATTTCATGTTGAGTGAAGATCGTACCATGTCCACTGGAAATGTCTTGTGTCAGAAACTCAAGGAGATCTTGACAATGACGTTTGGATGCTTCAGGTGTCAGATAACCAGGAAGGCGAGAATAATGTGCGAGATTTGCAACCCAGCTCTGTTGTTGTTCTTTGATGCGATGTAATTCAAAAGCATTCTGAATTCGACTAGTATCCTGAAACAGTGATGTACGTCTTCGAAGACGTATCATATCGTACAATGTGAACCAGTCAATTTGGATCAAATCTGGAATCAATAGTGGGCAGCGAAATACCGCTAACGAAGGTAACGTCCACAATTGTACGCCAGAACCAAGATGATATTGATATTCAAGAGCCGTATAACTTTTGTATGAGCGACCGATAATTGTTGTCATCTGAGACACTGCTGGAGCTTGCCGAAGCACATTGGTTTCAATCAATGAATCGCTGGAACTAGAAGAATGATAAAATAATCCATGGGATGGAATCATCGGAGTGGGTTGTTCAGGAACTGATGGGTGATGTGACCGTGCAACTCTTGATGATGGTCGTGGAGCCCCTTCAGTGTGATCCACGCGTCGATGATCATCAGTCAGTGGTGGACGAGATCTGGACCGCCCACGATTTCCAACCCGATTCTGGGGTTCTGGCAATGCCCAATCTGGTAAAACCAATTTCTGAGTTTGTGACACCTGACTACTTTGTGACAACAATTGCAACTGCTGAATTTGTGCTTGAGTCTGTAGAAGACCCATTTGATACTGCCATGAAAAAAATTGACAATGGTGCATCTGCAACGCCTGTTCACCTTGAATGATCCGGTGAGTAATGGCAGCCATCTCTTCGTTGGGAATACTGAAATCAAATTCTCCACTGAACCCACGAAAGTGAATACTAGCATGTTGTGAGTACGTCGACTTGCAGGAATCACCCACGAAGGAGGTGGATCCCGAGCTGGTGGGCCCCAAAATGGTTTTGGTACAGCAGCAGGTGGAGGCATAGCGAAATGACATCAGAAATAGAAGAGAACTGGGAGAAAGTCTGTAAGCCAAAAAAAGAAAAATTATCACCGAATGTCAAAATTGCAACTCTGGACAGTTAGAAATAGTTGTAACATGGCTGTAGAGAATATGTACAGCCTGCAAAATCTAATTTCTCCTGAGGCGGCGACGATCTCTGCAAACTCGTAGTAAGACAATGAAGAATCTCCCATATTGTGCTAATCCATCCATTTGGGATTAAACTGCGTCCCACATGGGGACTAATTCATCCGCCAGGGACTAATCCGTATTTGTGATGACAAATTGTCATGCCTTACCTCCCAGTGGGGAGTAATCAGATAGTTGTCAGAACAACTAACTATGTCATATCCAGATTGTCCCGACTGGACGGTCCCTTATCCACCGGAGCGGCCGGTGACCATAGTCTTGACCCGCACGAAGCAGACCGACGGTGCTCACAAGCCAGTGAGTTCACCCTAAAACACACTGCTTAGGATATTTAGGATTGGTTTGAGGATGATGAATATAGAGCTTGCCGTCGCCCGTTCGCCTAAGTCGCCTTCATGCAAACGAAAACTGAATCGGACAGGAGCTTGCTGAAAATAAACCACAAAATGGTGACAGCTTGTTCAACAGTTCAAATTATGCAGGTACGTGACAAAGGCGTCCCTTCGTCATATCACAGCAATTGATGAAGCGTCTTCGTTGAGTGGTGACTTCATCATTGCTCACCACTCCCCTGCATAGTCGAAAGTATACCGTATGTATCCGTATGTGATAACGGTTTTCACACACGCACACGGTACACAGACAGACACCACACGCACACACACACACAAACAGAACACAAAGAGGAAGACACACACACGCACACACACACAGGCACAGACCCTTCTACACACAGACCCTTCTACACACAGACGCTTTCACACAAAGACCCTTTTACAAAAAAACAGATGCTTTTACACACAAACGCTTTTACACACAGAGGCTTTTACATACAAAAGCTTTTACACACAGACCCTTTTACACACAAAAGCTTTTATACACACACGTGCAAAAGCGTTGCGCGCCGACCTCCAAAATCGCAATTTCACCTCAGTTTTGGACACTCGACTCGACCATCATTTCATGCGAAAGGGTTGCGCGCAAAATTGCGAAATCGCAATTTTAATACATGCTTTGACATCAAAACGTATGAATCAGAGCAGTCGGCCGCCAATGCCATGTCGTCATACAGAAAGTGCCATTTTACCGCAGATTTCGACGATCGAACTTCATTTCGTGGGAAAGTAAAGGGTTGCGCCGGTCCCGTGAAAATCGCAATTTTACCACAGTTTTTGGCGATCGAACCTCGTTTCGTGCGAAAGGCTTGTTGCGGCACAATCAAAATCGCAATTTCACTGCACAGTTTTTGGCGATCGAAGCTCGTTTCGTGCGAAATGGTTGCCGCCGAGATGGTAAAATCGCAATTTCACCACAGTTTTTGGCGATCCAACCTCGTTTCGTGCGAAAGGGCTGCGTTTCGTGCCGTCTCGTTGGCATTGCCCCGCGCCTTAAGAGAGAAATGGAAAAGAAGGAAAAAGAAGAGGGCAAGAGAGCAAGAGGGCAAGAGAGAATGTGAGGATGAGATGTGAAGATGTGAAGATGATGAAGATGTGTGAAGATGAGAAGATGTGAAGATGAGAAGATGTGAAGATGTGAAGATGTGAGGATGTGAAGATGAGCAGATGTGAAGATGAGCAAATGTGAAGATGAGAAGATGTGAAGATGAGCAGATGTGAAGATGAGCAGATGTGAAGATGAGCAGATGTGAAGATGAGAAGATGTGAAGATGAGCAGATGTGAAGATGTGAGGATGTGATGAGAAGATGTGAGGATTTGAAGATGTGATGTGAAGATGTGAAGATGAGAAGGTGTGAGGATTTGAAGATGTGATGTGAAGATGTGAAGATGTGAAAATGTTTGACAGACCCCCACTATTAGAAGAACCCTTCGCTCAGACGCTCTCGGGAGAAATGGACTTGAGGATACCCTGGTAATCACAGGTGGCAATGGAACATCCCCCATTTGTTGATGTTGATGGTCTACTTTCATGACATTTACTTGGTGTTCTAGGCATTGTAAATGGGTAATAACATGTAATAACCAGATCTAAGGCAGCTAGATCAGTGGGATACACCGAGTCAGATGAATAGGTTTTGATGACCACTTTGTACTATTCAGATGGTTAATTGATATCCCTAATTCTATTGGTGAAATTGAAATGCCCGCATTCATTATCATTCATTGCTCAAGTTCCCGTTGCTGGCTGATTCGCAATCACGACCCTTACAGTACTACTAATCATTATATACCATAGTGATGATAGCAATCATAATAACGATGCTGATACATAGTTATGATACTGATTCCGGATTATGTCACTAGCACAAGAATCATCATGTCACCTTTCGCCCATGGTGCTCCAGGCAAGCTGGGCCCCTACCGTCCCAGCCGCGGCATTTCGCTGGCGCAGCAAGCTGCCCATGGCACGCCCGAAGAGCGAGAGACAGCGCTGCAGGAGAGACACAACCGGACGGGAAAAGTGCCAGGTTCAGCTGCATTTATGAAAATGACATGAATATAGATAGAGACTTGATGATATGATACATACTGATACATATATATAAGTATATATATGATACATTCTGCAATTCTATTTTTTTGATGTATATGTATGTATATAGTATACACGTGAAATTACAGTAACATTGAAGGACTTGTTTTTTTGCAGGATGCATGGACTCGCTGTGTGAAGGAACCCTTGCAGTGACTTACACCTGTGAAACCGAACTCTCTTCCCCCTGCATCACTAGAACGCAAGGTGAAACTAAACTACTTGGAGGCATTTTGTGAGCAACTGCAAAAGTTTGCGCGCCCTGCAGCATAGAAGACCCGGAACACCAAAAGAACTTTTGTTGCACCAATTGTTCAAAAGATGTGTTTGGTATCCCAGGACGCAACGAAGGCATTTTCGCACGATCACTATAGCCCATTGAAAAGTGTCACCGAATGTTACCGCCATTGAGGCGTCGCCGAACTTCATCACCGCATGCACATCCTGACTACGGTCAAGATGTTTGTTTTAGCATTCACATAGTTTGCTCATTATTTTCACTGTTAATCATATATATATATATACACATATCCTGGGCCTTCCAACTCCCAAAAAATATCAGTCGTTTTGCACAATCAGGCGTTTCATGAAATTTATGGTTGTATCGAGCGTTCCCCAAAAAGTTAGGCGTGGTATGTCATGGCTGTGTTTCCCATCGGCATGGCCCTCCTCCCAGTCTTCTTAGTATTTCGCTTTCAATCTGCACATCCAAGCTGGTTTCTGTTTCATTGCGCGCTCCCAAAAATTATACAAATTTACCAGATTCTTGGATTTGCGGGCGTTTGCGGGTTTTTTGCGGGCGTTTTGCGGATTGTTGCAGGCGTTTTGCGGGCAATTTTGGGCGCAGTTATGTGCATTTATACGCGTTGGTGCTGGGATATGAGAATGGCCTGGTATGTCCGTGGGACGCAGCCAGGATGCAAGCCATGCTCAGTCATATTAAAAATGTCACTTGTGGTGATAATGTGGCCGCGAGGAAGCAAAACCAGGGAAAGCAGTAGAATTAGACGAAATTCTGAAAACTGGATCAATTTTACATCATTCTCCAAAACTATCAAAAATAATTGATCGGAAGAATGTTCAGGATATATATATATATTTATATACAGTATACATTATGACATAGTCATCATCGATATAATGACTATTATATATATCATGTTCTAACTATTATTAGTGTTTATTATCATTAACTTTTCACCCCTGATACTTTCAGGCTACCCTATAATTATGTTACCATTAATTACGTTACCATTATTCTCATTTTATTCCCATCACTATCCCATTATAGCATTGCTGAGTTCATCAGTTACTTTCAGGCTTTCGATGCGACGACAGTTCCCGCTTCCTTTAAGCGGTTGCATATGACTGCATCCAACTTCCTGAAAAACTTCAGACAACATGAAGTCCGACTTGTTTGAAGACGGTTGTTCACCAAAAGGATGGTTGAAACCCTATAATTTTTGGTATAAATGAATATAAATGGTATAACAGTAAAACACGTGGGAGTTTGTAAAAACCCCGCGCCCCGCGCCTATTCGTTTAGTTTTCCATGATCTCCCATGAACCATTTTTAGTTTTCAGTCGACAAAACGATAAGAGGAAAAAAACAACGATAACGTTGGTTATGTTAATGATCTGTGTTCAGACTCTTGAAATCCAAAGTTCTTGATTTTTCCATCATTCTGCGGCTATTTAGTGCTTTTTGGTGTTTCCTTTCAGTGTTTGCTGTCATAATGGCGCAGATTTTGCACAAGGAAGGTGCCCGGGCTGCCTGGCAGGTGGTCGCTACACTCCTTTTTTGATGATTGCCAGAAAAAAGGAACACATACAGGATTCACGAACGACAACAAAACGATAACGAAAACGATAACTTTTGGCATCAAAAATGGTCCGTGTGAGACACGGCCTTTTTTTTCTCTTTTCCTCTCCCTTTCCTTTTTCCTGTTTCTTCCTTTACTTTTCCTTTTCCTTCTCCTTTCCTTTTTCCTGTCCTTTTTCCTTTCCTTTTTCCTTTCCTTTTTCGTTTGATTTCTCCGTTCCTTTTCCTTTTGTTTTCCTTTCCTTTCCCTATGTTTTTCCTTTTCCTTTCCCTTTCCTTTTCCCTTTCCTCGCTCATGTGAATTCTTTGATCAAAGTGTGAAACCAGCGCTTGGAAAAACGACAAGAGGAAAAAAAAAAAACGTCTGGAAAAACCATTTGAAAGGGCTCGGGGTTTTTACAAACCCCCGAGATGTTATAAAACACACCTACTTATCAAGTCCTTTTCAAGGGTTTCACCACGTCTTGTTTTGTTTTCTTCAGCCAGATAGGTATTTGTTTCTCTCTTGATAATAACACTCTAGCAACGGCAAGGGTTTTGTGCAGAGGTTTTTGCGCTTTGCGCAACGATATAAAATGATATATATATATAAATATAATATAAATGTTTTTCCCCATGGGAAAGTATTGTCCACGTATAATTGTATGATTTAAAATATGTGAAAGTAAACTTTGTACATATTTGTACACTGTACCTATACATACTTGACCTTTATTTTGCATGAGATGTATTTTTCAAACATAGGATCAGCATATGTCATCTATTTTTCAAAATTTGAAGGTTGAAAATTACACAGATTTCAAAAAGATGTGTAAATAAAGTAGTTATACCAATCATATACATATATAAGTATATAATTATATATATATATACATATACATATATATATATATATATATTCACCATCACCAGTAGTGACTCAGTAGTGGCTTTGCAACCCGCCACTGATGTCCCCAGACCAGGAACTCGACAAGTTCGCGGCCGCCGCACGGAACGAGTTAGGAAAGGTCCGGCGCATCCAGGCGGGGAACATGAAAGGCGAATTCCTGGTTTCATGACGCAATGGTACTGGTTAATCATGGTTAATACCAGGAAATTCAGAAACCATGGTTATATAATAATGACCATAGTTATGCCATAGTTATTCATGGTTAATACTGGTTATTCATGGTTTTAGGGATTTCATAGCTATCATATCTGGATAAAGAAAAACGTGGCCCCACGTCACGTGACGTCAATGGTGGCCGCATCTCCATATGGCCGCAATTTTACCGATGAACATCGTGCTTTAATGGGAAAAAGATATCGGATGTTTGATTATGTTTGATGGTGGATATTCAAACAATTTGATATAAAATAGTATGGACAAATATGGAAACTCATCAGTTTTACATCCATGTTTTAACACATCATTGCTCATAAAAGATCCGCGCTTTACCCATTCTTCTGTGCCAATAATTAAGTGTATGTGACAGTCAAGGTAGACTTGCACATAGATCAGGGCAAGTAACACCGATTGATAACCGCCTCAACTTCAAGTTCACTCTGAGTGGTGAAGATTATAGTAAACTCTGTCCCATAAATGGCATGGTTGGTGGTTTAAAACGTTTGTTTTCCAACTTGGCTTTCGGGATGACGATCCCCAATACCTTCAATTTGGTTTTGATGGGGGTGAACCAGTGCTTGATAGCATCCCACGGTGAAGACCTTTTCTGCGGGTATTCTTCGGATTTCGGGCAAGGAAGGGCAGTCAGTTCACAGCGGAAGGGTATTTTCTCAGTCGGTGTTCTTCCATCTTAAGTCCTTCAGAATACCACGTAGACTAGAGTGTCTGCATTTCCAAGTCTGTTCGGTTGCAACAATCACCTGTGGGAAGTTAAGAAACGGTTCCTCTTGGAGTTCGGCTATGCGTACCGTTTGGTAATCAAACGTGGCAATGGAAAATCGCCGATCAAAGGCAAGGTTGAATGGGAAAAGCTGTAAGAAAACCATAATAAATACGCCATTCTCATCCATTTTCCAGCCAGCCACGTGTGACTACCGGAGGGATAAGCAGAAATATATGAAAATGTGAAGAATCTGGAGGCTTCTGAAGAATTTTGCCTTGGACCCGCGAGTTCTTGAGGAGAATCGGCTCGTGCAGATCAAACAGGCGATTTCGGGTAGCGGGGCATAGCTGGGGTTTTGAAGCTCCTGGAAGATGCTATGGGTATAGGTCAAAATTGTGTATCCCAATAATTTGGTGACTTTTTGATGGTGCATACTAAAAAAATAAAATAAAAAAAACTATATATATATATATACACACACCAAAATCTGTGGTCCCATGGGGCTTAAGTTTTGACCCATCCCCATACCATTTTGTGTTCGCAACCTTGGTCTTATCATAATGTCGCTTTGAAAATATTGGTTGTCGACCCCCATGTGAAGCAAAAACATGGTTTCCCTTGGAGTTACTCTGTGGTTAAGACTAAATTCGCATCAAGAGATAGCTGGTCGATTTGAAACTATTTTAATGTGATTTTCCCATTGCCAGGTTTCACAAGAGGGTAAAGTAACTTGCACAGCGCATAGACATCCGCACATGCCTCCACACAATGACATGTGCCGCAAAATTGATTACCACATTGCACCTATGTTAAAAAATCGAAACGGCCACAATTTTGCGTGCCCTACGGGATTAAAGTCAAACTTTTGGTGATCTTTGGTGTCTAACCTGCCAGCTGAAACAGCTGAAACCTGCCAGCACTGCGTTGGGTCAGGCTTTGCCTCCCCATTTCCAAGCCGCCATTCGACTTGTGAGAAATCCCAGTGGATTTCTCGACCTGGCGATGGCGACGCCGATGCATAGATCAATACTTGGATATGTGATGTACTTTGTACGTGATGTTCACATGTAGAAACATGGGATAAGATGTCTCCAGCTGGATATGCACATAGTTTTTGCATATTTTATATGTGCAGATATTTGCATGAACGTGTCGGTGCGTGTGTATGTTTGTGTGCATGTGCGTGTGTACCAATGTGTGTATGAGTACATATCTGTATATATGTTTAAATGTGAATATGTGTATCCTGCATTTGTCAAAATAGGTTGCCTAAAATCCACTGGGCTTATCATCACTTTCCCCCAATTCATATGATACATGGGGATAGCACATGTTCAGACTCCCCTATATGGACAAAGAAAGCACTACAGCCATCCTAGTGCCCATAACTCCAGCCAGAGCCTGGTAGATATGACCCAGTCGTTACTTCTGTGGCAGAGCCCATCGTTGATGAATTCCGGGTCAAAAGATTACCCTCTGGTAAACGTTTACATAACTATGGAAATCACCATTTTTAATGGGAAAATTCACTATTTCTATGGGCCATGTTCAATAGCTATGTTTGTTTACCAGAGGGAACTGGTCACATTTTTATTGGGAAGACCCGTGACCTATGGAACCCTACTATGCGCTACCGGTATATTCGTGTCTCTTCTACCCAAGTTTCAGCCTCAAAGTACGCATGATGAGGGATAGTGGGGGACCAAACTTCCGGGCTAGAGTATCAAGTCAAACCTCAGTGCTCCATGTATGGGATATTTTCCATGCAACATGTAGCCCAAAAAGACCCAAATGTAGGTAAATATTCCCTACATGCAGCATGTGGGTGTAAATATGTGTAAATTAAGGGTCAGGCAGCCTTCCAGATTGTCTCATACTTATCTTCCACTGGCTGATGAGTTTGCCATCCGAGGAAGCTTTGCCACCAACAAACCGGAGGTGGGTGGGGGTACTTTTTTGCGGTTTTCTGGGAATTTGACCACGAAATGTTGAGTATTTTGCCAAGCAACATGGGGGATTTGAGCATCCATGGGGATGTCGAATGTTGCTTGGTGGTTTTACAAGTTCCAATCCTGGGATGATGATGATGATGATGATGATGATGGTCCCCATGGATTTCTGAATACCGTCTTTACCGTCACCATTCCAGTCATGTCATGTCAATCATTGTCAATCATCATTTGGCTGGTGGTTTCAAACCTTTTTTGTTTTCCACAATATATGGGACAATCCTTCCCATTGACGAACTTATATTTTTCAAGATGGTGAAAACCACCAACCAGTTGTGTTTGGGTCACTAGCATAACATATCATCGCTATCGAAAATCTGTCTCATATCATCGATCCATGGCAATGATGTCCATGGCGACCCAGTCATGATCATCGATGATCATCGCCGGTCATTGAAATTGACAATGATATACCCTCTGGTAATTTCACATAGCTATTGAAAATGGCCCATAGAAATAGTGGATTTACCCATTAAAAATGGTCATTTTCCATAGTTATGTAAACGTTTACCAGAGGGTAACACAATGATAATCATTACAACATATCACAACTACCAGGTTATCTATCGTTATGATTCTAATATGTATTTCATTTGACCATGACTACCAGAATCAGACTATGATATTTATTATTTCGCATATTTTGATTGTGTGATATTATGTGATGTTTATATTACTTTATTATACTGATCATCATATAATACTATATCCAGATTGGGGTCATTATCATGATCAGTACCATAATTATGATGTTCATTACCATCAGAACTACAACTATCACAGTGTCACAATGCTTATCTTATCAGATTATCATATATTATCATAATATAATTCAATTTAATTCATAAAAATTGTAGATCTTGAATGATGTTGATTCATTTAGATGAACCTTTCCATACCTTTCCCATCCGTCAGATCTAGCCTGGCTCATCCAGATTTCCAGATTGGAGGCGCTCCTCGACCTCCAGTGCTTCCACACGCGGCATGTCGAGTCCATCGATTTTTATGGGGTGTCAAGCGGCCGGGGGGTTCACCAACATTGGGAGTGTTTACCATTGTTTACCATGAACATCTTGGTAAACTATGGTAAACTGATTGGTGTTCTTGTAGTTTGGCTTGGCTTTTTTCTGCATCATGTCATGGAAGAGGTAAAAATGACCACGCCCCGTTCCACCGGTGCCAGAGCAGAGGGGTAGAGGGGTTTTTCGGGGAGGGTGCCTCCCAAAACGACTTGGGTTGCATTTCAACCAGCAAAAAAGATGTCAAAAAAAGGACGTAGGCAAACACCTGTGGGGTGGGGAAATGAATCAACAAAAGTTGAATCAACATGAATCAACAATAGCTGACTCGACTTTCTCAGTAACGTTTTTCACCCAGTCGCACCGTTTAGGTGAGAGCAGTGGCTGAGACCACGGGGGCCCTTGCCACCTGATGGTGTTGAGGGAAGCTAGCTGTGAAGGTCTCATTTTGGGAGCGGAGGTGCTTGGGACTCAATCAATGAAGTCCAGACACAGGTTAAGATGGTGAAGTTACCATTCGATCAATCAATGAACAATGGCTGGTCACGTCTCACAAAAAAATGATTGTGCTGCTTATGTATATACAGTATCCAAGCGCAGTGTGATTCTTATTTTGGTCAGCGGCATAAAACCAACCGTTCAATGTTCACACAGAAAAGAACTTGTTCTGGATGAATTTCTGCATGTTTGGTGGCAGTGAGGCATCGAATAGACCTTCCTTTTATGGGTGTGCAGCTTTCAAACAGTTGATTCTCAGGAGATAGACAGAGCAACGTCAATGACGTGAGTTTCCACTGAAGAGTCCGGATTTCATTTGATACCTTCATCTCCATTAATTCAACCTGCTGTGATGGAGCAACTTGCTGGGGGGTGGTCCGGGGTTGTGCTCATTCTCTTGGAAGAGTTGCACAATCTTTTCCCCATGGATGCACAGCCAAGTGCATCCGTGTTTGGCCTGCCATCTTCTAAGTAAAAAGTGTAGGAGGACAGGGGACTTCGCGGCATGTAAATGCTTGCGCTGGCCCAAGGATTGCCGTGGCTAGGGCGATCTACACTTTGTTGACAGCAAAGTGCCCCCTTGGATGGCCATATAGGGCCATAGGGCGATTGATTACTTTGTGACTGGGGTCCCCAACATTCGGGTATTTGGGATTGTCTCTGCTTTTTTCGGAAAGCCACAACAAGGCGGTATGATACAGTATATTCATATATAATATATTATATATATACACCCTGCTTTCAAGCACACCCATTTAGCTCACCTATGGCCATCTAAGCAGAATCGACTTTTGTCTTTGGCCTTGAGGCCAATGGTTTCTTTGTCTCGAGACACCGGCAGTTGCCCGTGTTTGTGGCACCAAACGGTTCGAGGCGTGGTTTGAGATAAGTTACATCGGTAGAGACGCCATCCGCGTTGCTGGTAGTGCGTTCAGCAGTACCTCTGAAACGGCCGCGGATCGTGCGCACCGACAGCAGATTTTTGCCGGGCAGAGACATGGAGTGCCTGCAGCCAAAGCTGCGGCTACCGTCTGCGTGCCTTGGGACATCTTGGAATATCCTCCAAGTCCAAGAGAGAATGCCTTGTGGCCTTGAGAATTTCACGGTCCAGTTTCAGCAGTTACAATTTTTAGGGATGCCAGCAGAGCTTGCAACTATTATCCTGTCATGTCTATCAATATCTTTCATATCCGATCTGATTCTTCTGGAATTATATCAATAGCAATTCGCACATGATATACATGTGCTTTGAATGCAAAAGTGGATATATGATTGTGATTTCTTGGAGAATTGTGGTTAACTTGGTGGACATAATTGGACATACTTGGACATATAATGATTTTATGTGTATATATATAAATGTAATTATATTGTATAATTATATATATATGTGGACATGTCTTTATCCGCTTGTCTTTTCATTGTGTATGATTGTGCCTCACTTCGCTCAAGTGTCGTTTTTCGAATGCATTGGCTTTCTCTCTTCTCGGAGCAGAAAGGCATTGTTTCAAGTGGAGGCTCTCCCTTCGGGATTGGGAGGTGATTTGGTCATTGTACCAGTGTTGGGTAAAAGAACCTTAAAACCTCAGATGTTGATCATAATCAATACTAAGCCATCCCAAGTTGCCGTACCCGTTTTTGATTCATATGTAGATTGTGGCTCAACCAAGCTACAACCCATGCTTTCTGAAGTTGAGTTGGCTGATTTGGGAAATGAATGATGGTTGGAACATTGTCGGACACAGCGCAGAGTTTCAAGACTAGATGATCACTCTTTTGCAAGAGCACTTGGACGACTCTAGCAGCAGGGAACCACAAGCGGCACACGACCATATAACCAGAGTCCCCAGTTCCTGGTTGATCCATGGTTATCCCGTTTGTAAAGTTTTCCTTTTTTCGGCCACAGATTCTTTGCCTCTTTCCACTTGCCATTCCTGGGATCAGTGAGCCTCAACTGTTACATTCGAACATCTCTCCCCTCAGAATGTTGCGGACGATATACCCATGAAACAGTCGGGGGATCCACTAAGCTTGTTGTCACATGGAAAGCAAGGTATATCCTGGAAAGTCAATCTATTTCCCCAGGGTCTGTAGATTTTAGCAAGACATCCCGCCAACACACTTGCTCAGACACACTTGTCTTCCTCGTCAACCTTATTGCCAGCTTGTTTGCCAGCCACCTCTACACACCCTGAGCTCGCCAGCTCTCTGGGCCCGGACCTGAACCCTATGCCAGATCAAAGGTCAAATAGAATGTCAAATGAAATCTAAGATAGAATTTCGGATAGAATGCCAGATTGCCTGTCAGAATATAGGTCAGATAGAATGTCAGATGGATCGCCATATGCAATGTCAGAATGTATGCATATATATATATATACACGCTATGGGCGCCAAGTTCTCCGATACGTCATGTTTCTGGGTGATTGGACATTTTGAAAATTGTGTTTTGGCTGTGGTAATTTGCACATTTTTGAGCATCGTGATTTGTCTTGACTTGATGTTTGACGGACGTTTTTTTTTGTGTCCGTTTACATAAGTTGAAGTACAAAATGCGCTTTTCATTGGTGCCTCTAACTCTATGCTGGAATTGTTCATTTTCCCTGTTTGTTTTTTGTGTTGTTTGTTTTAATAATCCCCTCTCCCTATTACTAAACGTCCCCCAAATACTAAAAACAGGCGTCCATCTCCAATTTCTGAAAATTTCAGTTTGGCCAATTTGACTTTTAATTGATCCCCTTTAGAAAACAATTTGAAAATCAACCTACCATTTGTGGGTTTCCCCCCCCCTAATACTAAAAACTAGTCAAACCCGGGGTGTTTAGTATTAGGGGGAAGCTTCGAAATCCGATTTTTGGCAATATTTTAATTCGGTTACATAAAGAAATTTAATTGCTTTTGAAATCGGAAAAAAAGTTTTTATTATTAAGGTGTTTATCGAAATCCAATTTCTGGCAATATGTTAATTGCGTTATATAAGGAAATTTAATTGATTTTGAAATCGAAAAAAACGGCTTTTATTATTAAGGTGTTTAATTTAGTATTAGGGGGAAGCTTCGAAATCCAATTTTTGTCAGTATTTTAATAGCGTTATATAAAGAAATTCAATTGATTTTGAGATCAGAAAAAATAGTTTTTATTAGTAAGGGTTTTAATTTAGTATTTGGGGGAAGCTTCGAAATCCAATTTTTGGCAAAAATTTAATTGCGTTATATAAGGAAATTTAATTGATGTTTAAATCGGAAAAAAAATAGTTTTTATTACTATATAAGTGTTTTAATTTAGTATTAGGGGGAAGCTTCGAAATACAATTGTTGGCAATATTTTAATAGCGTTATATAAGGAAATTCAATTGATTTTGAGATCAGAAAAAATAGTTTTTAATAGTGAGGGTTTTAATTTAGTATTAGGGGGAAGCTTCGAAATCCAATTTTTGGCAATATTTTAATAGCGTTATATAAAGAAATTCAATTGATTTTGAGATCAGAAAAAATAGTTTCTATTATTAAGGGTTTAAAGTTAGTATTAGGGTTCCCTAATACTAAATACGCTCCTAATACACAAAACTACCTGCCGTGTTTGTTATTGGGGCGGGGACGTTTAGTATTAGGGAGAAGGGATTACATTAATGTTTATATGAAAAAAGTGCAAAATTCATTGGGAAAGGCCAGTCAAAATGATATAGGGCCTTGGTATTTGCAGTATTTTGTAACGTTGTGAACCGAGCCGCATCTTGATAGTCAGAGGTTTTGTGTCAAGTTTTTGTTTGTTTGCCAAGTTTAGAATTGTTGATGTTCCTGTTGTTGTTTTGTGTTGTTGTTTTAACATATTCATTTTTATAATATATGAAGAAAATGTAAAATTAATTGGGAAACGCCAGTGATAGTGAAAGAGGCTATTTTGTATCCAGGTTATGTTTTATCCATACCCATTTCACACCGTCAGTATAGTTAAAATATATAACGATAAACAGCAATGCCGCATGCAGACCAGACCCAGCGCCCCCACGAGCTGAGTCTCGCACCTGCAGCGGATGGAAGATCTAAGAGTTATATGATTATAAGTGACCATGTTTCACCTGCATATACAAGGAACAAAATAAATCAAAATGACACATAGCATCCAACATATTCATGTATGTCTTTATATGTTTATATATATATATATACATATACATATATATATATACAATATTTATAGAATTTTTACAGATACATATTTCCCTAGAGGCCTCACCTATCCATCCCACCCCACCCCATATGCGTGTCGTAGCACATCCTCAGCGTAGCATCATATGTATGTGCCAATGAACGTACGACTGCGTAGCATCACACCTGTATGCACGTGTACTTGAACGTTATCACCCCCCCCACCCCACACCACCCCACCACATAGGAGAAGTCCTAGCCCTTGGGTATATATATACACACAATTACACATATTTCAGGTAGAATGTCAGACAAGATGTCAGAGATAGAATGTCAGAATATGTGTCAGATAGAATTGCAGATAGAGTTTCAGAATATGTGTCAGATAGAATGTCAGAATATATGTCAGGTAGAATGTCAGAATATATGTCAAGATGTGTGCCACGGTGGGGATCACACGAAATTAAGTAATGTGTTTTCTATTGATTCCTCAAGCAAATGCACGAATGCAAAGCCAAGCCAATGAAACTACATGCCAACCCATTTCAGAGAGCCGCGACGGTGGTCAACCCTTATATACCCTCGATAAGAAATCTATGTTTGAGGGGGCCACTTTCCACTCCCCCAGTTGTTTCAGGTAGGATCACTAAGATTGGGATTTGATTTGATTTGTCTGGGAAAAGAACAAGCCCGAATACTCCTGCCACAAATTCTAATGGATTAATGGTCAGTTTTGCGTAAATGTATGGCTACTTTAACCTGCAAGAACATGAACGGGTGGTTTTTCAGTCAGCTAGGTTTCAATATCAGCGGGTATGTATGTGTCTTTCCTTTTCCTCTGATGTTTGACTGTATGATGAA